TGAGCAGGCACCTGGCACTAGCTGCTGCTACTAAGCATGCGCTTCAGCTACTTCCTCAGCAGTAGAAGGTGACTAGGGCCAGCATCCCTGAACCTTGATCACTATATAAGGGAGAGGAAGATAGAGGTGAGGGAGAGAAGGAAAGGAACAGATGGATGAGATACAGTTTTCCTCCTCCTCAAGCCGGCGGCAGATAATTGACTCTTTTTAAAATCTAATTATTTTAGTCTGGCAAGGACAGATTGGTGGATTCAGAGACACCTGCCAGCGCATTGTTGTTTAGAAGCCAAGAGAGTGAAGGGTGGAGGCAAAGGGAAGAAAGAATTGTGCTGGAAAAAGCAATCATTTCCTTCCTGAAATGTTAAAAAGGAGTAGTTAGAAGTGGGTAGTGTGTAGAAATACTAATTTACAACAAAATATTAGGAGGTCTTTATTAATTACCCCACGGGAGTTGCTTAGTTCCTACGTAATTAGAAATGAAAACTATTTGTGATGATCCCCAACTGTCTTTATTGTTCCTATGGTCTTGTAATAGATTCAAAGAGCCTTACAGCTGCAGACACAGACATCTCTCAGACTCAACCCTATTTTTATATGAGACAACTGTAGACCAGAGACCCTAAGAACATTAGCACCATTGAGAGCAAGATGGATTTCCATGTGCACGGCTCTCTACGAACCATGATTTAAAACCCATCCATTAACTCTCGTAGGGAAGCCATATTATTCCATTTCACAGAAGAGACAATGGAGGCCCAAAGTCCCATGATTAGCAAATGCAGCTAAGGGACCTGATCCCAAAGCCCACTTTGTCTTGACAAAAACTCCTAGGACCAACAAAGTGTGACAGACCTGTATCCAGAATGCCAGTCTCAACTGGTGAGGAGGGCATTGCTCACTTCATCCAGTCCCACCAGAAGCCCGGGATTTCTTCTGTTACCTTCGGTTTCACTGGCTCTTGCTTATGCTGTTCCTGGCATGAGTCACTGTGTCAGGGGCCTCAGCCCACAGTGGTCAGAATCCCCAGAGTCTTCGGCGTCTGCCACCATTTGGTCAGAATTCACATATAGAAAGTTATTTCCTTTTTTAGCCAGCAAGTGCCCTTGGCTGTGGCAGTCTCTACTGCTGGACTTCTAGCTAGCCAAACAGCACTCTGAGGTCTCATAGCTGTCACATCATAACAAGGACAGCAGAAACAGCCATAGCTAGATGATGGACTCATGGTTTCTAAGAAATACTCGGGCCAGGACTCCGATTTCATTGCTCCCTAGTTGAGTAGTCTCAGTTCCCAGCTCAAAAACAAATGGGAATGTTTAGTCAAGGGCACTAAAGAATATATGAAGATGTGGAAACATCTAGAACACTATTTGGCATACTGGAGGCACCCGTTAGTACCTCGTTTTCTTTTCTGATGTTTCCTGTAAAAACCATCAACTTTGACCCAATCACCCGACTTGACAGTGAACTTGAATTCTCAAGAAACGGGTTAGTGCCACTGCAAGGCTCTCGTGGCACTAGGTACCGGACGGCAACTGTCGGGGACAAGGAAAACACGGCGACTGGAAGGACACTCACGCACCCATTAGATGTGGTTTAACTAGGCATCAAGACCCTCTGGGCAAGACTGAGGCAGAGAGAGGTGTACGTAGGCCTGCTCGGATCAGGTCCCTCTCGTCCCCGAGGCAGGCTTGCCTCATTCACATCTTTAGCGCCTGAGCGTGCCTCACGGGATTGAAGCACTAAAGCCCTTCGGATGTGTTCATAGCTGAAGGCAAAGGAGAAGCCAAGCAGACTAGGTCTACTGGGACAAGAAAGAGGAACTTCTCTACTGTAAACTGGGGTTAGAGACATCTCAGCCGGCTACTTCTGCCTCCTCCTGAAGCTCTGAACTAAGAACTTTCCAGGTTGGCCTAGTCGGGATTCTGGAAGTCCTTTGTAGATGCCCAGTGATAGCATCTCATGAAGGAGGCTCTTTCTGGCTCCAACTATTTTGCTGCGGCTGTAGACAGATGCACTCCTTTCCCTGAACCACAACGCACTGATCTAAGGAAAAGCAGTTAGGTAGAGTGGTTGCCAAGGCCTGACAACCCTAAGTGGGTGCATCTGGGGAGCCTGGGACTTGCCCAGTTATGAGAAGTTGAGTTTTTGGCAAAGTCCAGAGAAAAAAACAGACTTTCTAACTCTTAGCTTAGGGGTCAGCAAGAATGGTCCAGGGGGGTGGGGGGTGGGGGATGGGGGGGTGGAGGCAGCATCTGTAGTCATAAAAAGCAAGCAGTACCTTCTCGGAATTGGATGTCGTGGTGGCTGGCCTTCACTGAAGAAAAGGCTTTTGTATCAAGTGAGATGTAAGTCAAAGAGCTGGGGGCTGAGGACCAGGTCTTCTGGAGTAGGCCTTATTGCTCTATTGTTGGTTGAACAGCTAGCATGTGGCTGGGGGTGTAACTCAGTGGTTGGGTGCTTGTACTCATGGATCCAGACCCTAGTGTTCAAAGTGGAACAGTAAATAGTTTTCGTGCAATGCGTTCTAAGCCTCACAGAAGAGTTCCTTCTCCTGAAGCTGAGGATCAGAGAGTAATTTGACTGAAGTCACACAGTTAATTTCCAAACATCTGAATTAGACACTGTCATGCCCTCTGTGCTATTTCAATCCCTCTGATTCTGAAACCTCAAAGCTCCCTTTATTTATCAAAGTGAATGGATTGCTGGATTTTTTTTCTTGCCCATTATTTGCTAATATGTCAGAAACAATTGATTCAGAAAGCAGCACTAAGCTGTCAGTCATTCACAAGTCAGTCTCTTCCAACAATAGGCAGGAAGTAGGCTATTCTTACAGGAAAATGGGCATCTCCCCTTTCTGGCTAGCTCAACCCGTGAGCCCGGAGCCAGGCCTGCAGGCACTCGGAGAGCTCACACAGACAGCTGCGGAAATCACCTGTGGAACACTAGTCCTTCGCCGGGAGGAGGAGAGCTTGACCTCAGATCTCCTGGTTCAGGGACTGCAGGTCTCCACGTCCGGTCCTGAGTGACAGACATAGCTCGCCTTGCCCCACTTTAATCGGCAATCCCCAGAGATGTGGTCAGCCAGCACCCTGGAGGCCAGGTGGCACTGTGACAGCCTTGGTGACTGCTGGAGTCCATGACTCCCTGCTGTCTGTACCCGCTGGCAGCCAACAAAGGTGAGGAAGAGCCGGCAGGAAAGCAGTGGGTGCCTTAAGTGGAGATGCTTGAGTGGAAGCATCAGGGAAGGATAGGAAGGACGAAAGAAAGACAGCTAAGCACAGGGGCAGAGCAGGTGTTATCTCCAACGAGTCCCGGTCCTTTTCTAGGTCTTGGTCTCCTGGTCAAAGGAGTTGGACTGGCCCGTGTGAGACCTCTTCCGGTTTTAATGCCCCGAGACTTTGGGCCAGTGCTAGGAACAGGGATAGGAGTGAGGCAGCTAAGAGATGAGAGCAGTGAGTGGTGTCAGGAACCCAGCCAGACACCGCTGGAGTTCCAAGACAGTGGCAAGGCCCAGCCCCTCAACTCAGTGAGTGATGCGGCTCTGTGAACATCACCGTCTAGGAAAAACAGGAGCCAGAGGGCATCCCTCTCGGGGTTTTCTACTCTCTACTACAGACTCCTCACTGGAGCTGCTGAGAGAGGAAAGGGCCTGGAGGGGTGGCCACGGGTTAAAGACTCCAAATGTCTCTGCTGGCCCAGGGGTGAGGGTGGAGACCTGACAGGAAGGCAGAAAGTCCAGAGTTGTCCCTAGAGAGCAGCAAATCAGGCTCTGTCTGGGTCAAGACTCTAGGGACAATGGGTAGAGAAGATGGAGGTCACTTAACCCGCTACTGTGAAAGTCAGGCTGGTGTGCCTGCTAGGGCCGGCAAGGTCAGCCTGCACACAGGGGTCCTGGTCTCTCCTCTGCTGAGCATCTCTGGGTTTCAGGTCTCCTGACCCTTGTCAAGTGTCCTCCACTGCCCTTCCTTCTCCCAGGCCAGTCTGGCCATGCTGTCCCTAAACCTTGGCCAGGAAGCACCCGTGACGAGGAGTAACCAGGAGTCCCTATGATGGATATGATGGTGGGGTACTGGGACAAGGAGACAGGAACCAACTGGATGAAGAATATGAATCTTTGAGTCAAGTGATGCTTTTTAAGTGGCACTGAGTTGCTTTGGAACCCATGGAATCATAGTTCTGCATGGTGTTGCTACGAATTGGACCAGAGAGGGTCCTTCTACTTCCAACTTTTTACAGGAGAACAATGAGAACCAGAAGGAGGAAGTGTCACGCCCAAGGTCACATAGCTACTCAGGGCACCAGCCCCAGGTTTCCCACCCCCAGGTCCGGGTTCTATTGTCACATGATCAGAAGCGAGGGAAGGAGCCTACAGAAGCCGCTGCTGCCTTCAGGTAGGATGGAGCCTTCCAGGCCTCCTCCCTCAGATTAACTCTCTGGATCTCATCAGTCTCTTTGACCTGACCTCAGGGGCAGCTGGGATTCTTGTACATGGCCACTGCACAGTGGGGCCATGATACGCAGCAGGAAGCTAAGCAGAGAATATTTTTAAACTGTCCAACATGCCTTATGAAGAAAAAAAAAAAAAAACACAACCAACACATTCTCCTAGATGCTGTGGAAAGCATTTCCAAGAGATTCCATGCCTAGAGAAAACATTGTAAAACACTGCTGGGTTTTTGTTTTTAAAGGGCCAATTCCCACTTACCAAAAGTTCTTGGAAATAGACTAGTGACCCACTTCTTAAGATGCCCCCAGAGCACTGTGATTCCACAGGGGCAGACTGCCCCTGGACCCGCTCACATTTCAAGACAGGAATCAGTAACTTTACCAACCTTCCTATTTAATTTAGCCAAGCTTCACAGTGGCAGGAACAGAGATGGGTAGGGAATCACAGGTACGGAGGGAGACTTGCTCCTTATCCAGCCTCTGGAGAGGCAAGACTCTAATCTACTTCCCGCTGAGGTGTCGTTTTAGCTTTTAAAGTTCAAGTCCACCCTTACCTGCTTCTTTGCCTCTCCCTGGAGTTGGCGTCTTAGCGCTCTGGCTGCCGTTCAACTGCCCACTGTCATTTGCTCCTGAGCATGTCAATTTCCCCTCCCACCCTCTTTTAATCGGTATCCCGAACCCTTCCTCCTCCCACTTCTTCCTCCCCTTTCTCTCTCCACCCCTTTCCCCCTCTGGGTCCCTCCCTCCCCTCTCTCTCTTTTGCGCTCTTAGAATTTTGCGCTCATTTAAAAGTCGTCCCCCCCCTTCCTCTCTTCCCCCGCCCCGCCGCCTCCCCTCCCCAATCCGGAGAAAGATACCCCTCTACTCCCCCACCCCACTGCCCTCTGCTGTCCTGGTGACCGTCCTTGTCCGGGCAGTTCCCTGCACTTGCTCTTTCCCAGCTGGCTCGGGCACAGCCTCCCTGGGTCTTTTCCTGCCCACTCCTCTGCTGAGGTTTCAGAATTCTGCTTTCCTGAAGCGACCCCACGGAAAAAATCCCTCTTCCCCATCCCTTTTCTGTCACCAAAAAAAAAAAAAAAAAAAAAAAAAAAGGTGTCCATCCACACAGCAAGCCCTCAGAGAGTCCAGGAAAGTGTAATTCTTTCAAGTCACAGCTGTTTGGCACCCAGAGGACACAGGGCTTAACCTGAATGGTGGAAGACCTTGACCTGGAGCTCCAAAGGCTGGAGCCGCCTTCCCCACCACCCGGAGTGTTCTCTCTCCCTCTCCTCCTCTAACCGGAAGACAGCATCGTCTGTGTGCCTGGTCACTGGGCTAGGGGCTCCACATGTGTGGCCTGTTTTATTCCACTTAATCATTCCAGTTTCTGATTCACACAGGCAGGCAGTTTTCTGCAAAGCCCCTGAGGAAACGGAGGGTCAAAGAAATCGAGTAACAGAATCAGCTGAGTGGCTGGTTAGGCTTAAAAGTGTTAGCCAATGCTAAAATTCACCTCCTCGGGCAATCTAAAGAAGTGTGTAGATGCCCCTGGTGTAGCTGAACCAGTGAGAGATCTTAGTATATGATTTGTCATGGGAGAGCAAATTCAGAAATCGTGGTGCATCCGTCACCTCAGACCACCTCCTCTTCCGTCTTGTACCAGTTCCTCTGTTTGAGCATTAAACCCTGGGTCCAGTGGGGGTGTGACAGATGTCAGAAGTGGGGGTTACTGAAGTCAGAAAAACCAATGACTAAGAGCCCACAGATATGACAGCTGGGGCAAAGAATCTCAGCCAGGGAACCTGAGAGACAGTCTAGACTCCTCGACAGTGTCACATACCGCAGTGGGTGGCAGGTGCCAGGCCAGCACACAGATCTGCCTCCTGCTCCACATAGTCGTCTACTTGGTGCCTTCCCCATCCAGAGCCAGTCACAAATGGACTCTATTTTCCACGGGTGAATAAGCTGAGGGCCAGCAGGAGAGGACAGAATATGGGGCTTCCTGTACTGGACCCGAAGAAGGGAAATAGCTCTGCTAGAAACAAGTGCAGTCTTGATTCCTTAGCAAGAATGTCCTGCGCCAGCCTGCCCAGGTTTGAATACTGGCTCTGCCACTTGATGCTGAGAGCAACCCAGGGCAAGCCACCTTCCGGGAAGCTCGGGTTCTTCAGCTGTATTCTGGGGGTAATGATTTCCCCTTCTCAGGGTCGTCCCAAGAACTGATGAAGTTCTGTAAGGACTGAGGTGAGTGGTTACTATAGGGAGGGACAATGGGTCTGACTACAGACCACAGCCCAGTGTGGTACAGCATGGAGCCTGGCCCCCACTCCCCATGCTGACTATGGCTGGGATAGAGTTCAGCCCATGACGCTAGCACAGAGAGCCCTGGGTCCCAGTTTCTTTTCCAGATTTCCCCCATCCTGCGACTTCGTCCCTACTTCCCAGCCACTCCACACAAAGCACTTGGTTAGGTACCAGTAAGCCAGAGACAGCCAGTTAAGATCCCAGAAAGTCTCACCTGGGGGTGATCTGAAGTGGGAAGGGTTTAATTGGAATATTAACTCATAGATCATGAGGCCGCCAAAGCAGACACTAAATGCCAGTAATTAATGCTTAGATCATCAGGGATACCGAGAGAGTACCATTTTCCTTTGAATATCTGGAAGGGAAGACATGCCTAGATACAGGCACACTCATGAGACTGGACAGTCCAGCGCATAGCAGGCACATACCACCACCTTACCTGGAGAATAGAGAATAAACCAGCAGAGAAACTGGGTGAGTCGTTAGAGACTCCAGGAAGCCATGCACAGGGCTCAGCATGGCGTCAAGACATACTGTGACGCACCCACAATAAGTGGTTCTGAAGGACTTTGGCAGCATGGTCTATTTCTTGTCAGATTCTCTCTGGCACTAAGGCCAGGATTCTGACAAAAGTAAGGAAAACGTCATTCAAGCTGTAGGTCTGGAGTGATTTTCTAAAGGGACCCAGTGTGGCTTGTCACCAGACCAGAGAACATCACACGCAGATTCCTGATGCCCTAGAGAGAAGTCCACACAAGGGCTGGGGGTAGAACAGATGTTCCTCTGTGCCCTCTCCTTTCCTCCTCATGTTCCGTGTAGAAAAGAGCCCTAGAAAGAGGCATTGAGGGTGGGCTCCACATATTAAAAATGGTACTGCAAAGCCAACTCTACTCAGCGCCATGCTAACACACTTCACAATTTTTTTCACTTTGAGATGAAAAAACAGAAAAAAATGATCTTTTTTTTAAAAGATTTGCTTTCTTTTTAATTATTTGTATCTGTGTGGAGATGTGTGCACATGAGTGCAGTGCCTATCCAGGCCAGAAGAGGGTGCCAGATCTCCCTGGATCTGGAGTTACAGGTTACAGTTACAGTTACAGCTGACAGTCATGAGTGCTGGGAACTAGGGTCCTCTGCAAGACCAGCAAGTGCTCTTAACTACATTGAGCCATCTTTCCAGCCCATAGAAAAACAATCTCATGAAAACCATCTGAAATGCACACACACACACACACACACACACACACACACACACACACACACACACACATATATATATATATATATATATATATATATATATATATATATATATATATATATATATATATATCAGCCTTGACAAAGACTCATTGGCCACCTCTTTGGACTTAGTCAATGCTGAGAAACAAAAGCCACAAGGAACTGCTGTTCTAATTGCAAAATAGAGTTCTTAATTATAAAAACAATTAAAATAAACACAATATTGTATATATAATAAATTGCTAAATCATGTGAGGGAAAAATCCTTTGTAAGAATGTGATTGATGTGTTATAGCAAAGGAGCAAGGAGTGAACATTTTTACTTCACAATTCTGGAGGATAAACAGGATGTTATTATTCCCATTTTAGTGTAAAAAAGTTCACTCAAAGAAGTTGAGTAACTTGCCCAAGTTTATTTAAGACATGGAGAAAAGTTCTACCTGAGGCAAAGGGTCATCACTTTGTCCCACAGCTGTAAAGAAAATAGAAACCCCACTGGTCTAGTAAGAAAGAGGCATGGGATACCCCAAGTAAGAGCATGAAAAGAATGGGCGCCACCCCTGGCAGGAGGACTGTTCCCTGTAACTACAAAGGTGACTCAGCCCCGCCTGAGATTCCCACATTCTCCACTGAGGTTTTTAAAGGTGGCATCTCAAAACTCGCTTCTATCCCCCCTTTAGAAGCAAGGTGGGAAATGAGGACACACATTTTTCATGTCCCCTTCACCCGGTGAATCTCTGGCTCTTCAAGTTTCCCTCTCAAGATACTGTGGTCCAGATGTTTGAACAGCCACCTCCTTTACAGCCTACATGAGAACACGTGCAAGTAATTTCTGTCAGTGCTAATTGCAAGAGCAACGAGTCCCCAGCGCCTAATTGGAGGGTGTAAATGGGTAATTGGAGCTGTGGTTAGTGGGCTGAGGTCACACTTCTCTGCTGGTTGGGATGCAAACAGGGCAGGCTTAAGCCATCCTTTAGGACTTTTACTTTCCCCAACGGTGGTCAGAAAAAGGGACAAGAACACCTTGTTCGGAGAAGCAGAAAGAAAAGAAACACAGACTCCCTTGCTTCTGCTCCTTCATTCTCTATTCTCATCACATTTCAAGTGCTAATCCCAAAAGACAAGGTTAAAATCGTATCCAGACCTAATCGGGCCTAGGGGTCCTCTAGGGTCCAGACTTCAGGACTCTTTTGAGGTGGGCTGAGCCAAAGAAGAGGAGGAAGAGCAGGACTCACCATTATCACCCTCATAGTCATCATCACCACCCCTAACACCAAGCAATCTGGATTCTTTCCCACCCAAGTCAGACTATGGGGCAAATACTAGGCCCTTGAGAGTCCGGGACTGGACATTTCATTCTATAACAAAAATGTGGGATCTTTGCCTGGGGCATCTTGGAGCAGACAGCATTTGCTCTCCAAGTTCAGGAAATCCCTGAAACTAAACTATTGAGAATCTTAAACATTGTGCCTCTTACAGACAAGGTCTAGAGATTACAACCTACCTACCTTCCCTCCTTCTTTCCTTCTTTCCTTCCTTCCTTCCTTCCTTTCTTGCCGGAGACTGCATATGAAAAGCCTGACGTGTTGCTAGTGGAATCTGTGCTGGAGGTACCCGAGAATGAGGACTTCAGTCCCTCCAGGCCTGCCCCGCCTGCCGGATATTCTACTAAGCCAAGGAGAAAACAACCCTTGTGTCCTGAGGGCAGACTTTATGGCGTATGCATGTCATGTTCTCACCCATCCAACTGTTGGTTCTTGTGATCCTCCTACTCTATCTGCTCTTTATGATTTTCTTTCTCTCTCTTGCGGTGCTTTCCATGACATTAGAAATGATATTGCGATTGTGACAGTGGCAGGAGTTAAAGCTGTTCTGCAGGTCATGGGAAAAAACCAGAACGTAGATGGAGTGACATATAGATAGGATAAAAGACAAGAGTTGTCCAGAACTAGTCAGAAGACAACTTGACAAATTACAGAGTGATGAAGAAGGACCTAAGCTGAGAGGAAGCTGAAGTCTGGCACCTTAAACCGTTGCTTATACTTCTGTGCTTTCTGAGAAACCACAAGTAGATGGCTTCTGGGGTGATAACCTCAGATGTTCTGATAATTATTAACCTGCGA